AAATGCACCAAATTATTTTTTAATCTTCAACATAGGAATGCTACCAAAAATAATTTATTGATTCACCAAATTATCTTTTGAAGGAGGAAACATAGTACTTTAAGCATATGTTTTCGTTTCAGTCGCATCCATCTCCTCTAACTGAAGCTAATTGTAGAGATGTTTTTTCTATTGATAATGTCAAATTAACAGCCATACAGAAAGACTCATGTGAAGGTGAAATTACAGAGGAGGAACTTCTGGATGCAATTAAAGACTTTAAGTCCGGGAAAACTCCAGGGTTGGATGGCATACCAGTCGAGGTATACCAAACCTTTTTTGATATACTCAGAGGACCGTTATTAGCATGTTTTAACCACTCCTATGTAATTGGTAGATTATCAGACACTCAAGAAGAAGGTCTGATTTCATTATTACTGAAACAGGATACAAGTGGAAAATAAAAAGATCCAGTCCATTTTAAAAATTGGCGGCCCCTTACACTTCAGTGTTGTGATGCAAAGATTCTAGCAAAATGTATAGCGCATAGAATTAAAAAGATATTGTCGGACATTATTCATTCTAATCAGACAGGTTTTTTACATGGGCGATACATTGGAGATAATATAAGGCAAGTACTGGAAACAATAGAACACTATGAAAAATCTGGGAAGCCAGGCCTACTATTCATAGCAGACTTCGAAAAGGCATTTGATAAAGTACGACTGGGGTTTATATATAAATGCCTGGAGCATTTCAATTTTGGACAATCTCTTATAAATAGGGTTAAAATCATGTATACTAACCCTATATGTAAAATAGTAAATAATGGCTATTTCTCAGAAAGTTTTAAACTGTCAAGAGGAGTGAAACAAGATTGTCCACTATCGGCATATCTATTTATTATTGCCATCGAGATGTTAGCTATTAAAATCAGATCCAATAATAATATCAAGGGATTAGAAATCCAGGGCTTAAAAAACAAAGGTGTCATTGTACGCTGATGATTCATGTTTTTTTTTATCCACAACTTGAATCCCTCCACAGCCTCATAGAGGATCTAGATACATTTTCTAACCTCTCTGGATTACAACCAAATTATGATAAATGTACTATATTACGTATTGGATCACTAAAAAATACAATTTTTACATTACCATGTAGTTTACCAATAAAATGGTCTGATGGTGATGTGGATATACTCGGAATATATATCCCAAATGAAATAAATTATCTCACTCCAATACATTTTAATAGAAAGTTAACAAAAATAGATAAGATCTTGATTCCATGGAAAGGTAAATACCTGTCAATTTGTGGAAAAATTACCCTGATTAACTCTTTAGTATTATCCCAGTTTACCTATTTGCTTATGGTCTTGCCTATGCCTAGTGAACAGTTTTTTAAATTATATGAGAAAAAAATATTACATTTTATTTGGAACGGCAAGCCAGACAAAATTAAACGGGCCTATTTATATAATGAATATGAATTAGGAGGACAGAAATGATTAAATATTAAAGCATTAGACCTATCACTAAAAGCTTCAGTCATACAAAAACTATACTTAAATCCGAACTGGTTCTCTAGCAAACTAGTAAGATTGTCTCACCCAATGTTCAAGAAGGGACTTTTTCCCTTTATTCAGATTACAACCCCTCACTTTCAGGTATTTGAAAAGGAAATCATCACCCAAATATCACTATTTCTAAAACAAGCCATAGAAAGTTGGTTGCAATTTCAATTTAATTCTCCAGAAATGATAGAACAAATATTGCAACAAATATTGTGGTTAAACTCAAATATACTAAATGATTAAAAAAAATTAAAAAAAGGTATAATCTTCATAAATGATATTATCGGTAGGAATGGTGGAGTTATGTCACACATGCAGCTAACAAAAACAAATGGAAATGTCTGCTCTACCCAAAATTACAACCAAATAATTGCAGCATTACCGCAAAAATGGAAGAGGAAAGTGGAAGGAGGAAAAAGTAAGGAACTTGTCTGTCGGCCTTGCATTAAAGAACATAATTGGTTAAAGAAAATTGTGATAAATAAAAAAGTTTACCACTTTCATTTAAGGACCAAAAGATTGACAGCCGTCCCATATAGATTGCTAAATAGTTGGGAAGAGATTTTTGACGTACCGATTCCTTGGCATAGTGTTTATGAACTGATACGCAAAACGACGCCTGATTCAAAACTTTGAATTTTTCAATTTAAATGATTATATACAATTCTTGCTACCAATAGAATGTTATTTGTATGGGGGATACAAGCTTCCCAGCTCTGCAGATTTGGGTGTGAAGAGACAGAATCATTAGATCATTTGTTTTGGTACTGTCCATTTGTAGCTTGTTTCTGGACACAGGTCCAGGAATGGCTGAAGGATTGCAATATTTGCATGGAGCTGACCCTGCAGATAGCACTACTGGGTGATCTGAAAAGTCATAGTCAATCGATCAATAATATAATAATACTTTTAGCAAAGATGTTTTATTTTCAATTCACAAACTGTAGAAACTATGAGAATAGAAAGGTTCAGAACTTTTGTAAAACATCACAGTACAGTTGAAAAATATATGGCAAATAGAAATCCAATATGGATGGTGTTAAGAGATAGATGGGAGGTGTTGAATGGAGCTAAAGGATGGGACTAATAACAACAACTAATAACAACAAGATAACTAGTGTAAGACATGCTGTGTCCATAATAAGTATATAGGTTATATATTGTGAGCTTTTGTGAAAGAGCACAGTTAGAAAGATATGGCATATAGAAGCATACCAGATGGACATCATGAAAATGATCGTAGGAAGTTCAGGAGTAAAAACAAACAAAATATAATTATTGACTGTGTCCATAAAATGTATATAGTATGTATAAGCATGAAGTAGAGGCCTAAGCATTGTTGTTCACTAGTTTACTCCAATTAGGGAGGGGATGGTGGGGTTGGAAAGTAATAAAGGGAAATATATATATATTTTTAAAGGATATGTATGTATATATATATATGTATGTATGTGTATATATTTATGTGTATGTATGTGTATATATATATATATATATATATATATATATATATGCGAGAGTAAAAAACATATGGGGGATTGGAAGTGATGCAGACAATTACATTGATGGAAGTTACAATCTATCTACAATATTAAAGCTGATCTACCCCCTAAAAAAAAAAGAAAAGAGAGAGATCCTTGATGAAAACCTGCTCCAGAGCGCTCAGGACCTCAGACTGAGGCGAAGGTTCACCTTCCAACAGAAGAACGACCCTAAGCTCACAGCCAAGACAACGCAGGAGTGGCTTTGGGACAAGTCTTTGAATGTCCTTGAGTGGCCCAGCCAGAGCTCGGACCCGATCGAACATCTCTGGAGAGACCTGAAATTAGCTGTGCAGCTACACTCCCCATCCAACCTGAAGGCGCTTGAGAGGATTTGAAGAGAAGAATAGGAGAAACTCCCAAAATACAGGTGTGCCAAGATTGTAGCGTCATACCCAAGAAGACTCGAGGATGTAATCGCTGCCAAAGGTGCTTCAACCAAGTAATGAGTAAAGGGTCTGAATACTTATGTAAATGTGATATTTAATTAAAAATATATACAGTATCTCACAAAAGTGAGTACACACCTCACATTTTTGTAAATATTTATTTGAGTATATCTTTTCATGTGACAACACTGAAGAAATGATACTTTGCTACAATGTAAAGTAGTGAGTGTACAGCTTGTATAACAGTGTAAATTTGCTGTCCCCTCAAAATAACTCAACACACAGCCATTAATGTCTAAACCGCTGGCAACTAAAGATGATGCACAAGAAAGCCCGCAAACAGTTTGCTGAAGACAAGCAGACTAAGGACATGGATTACTGGAACCATGTCCTGTGGTCTGACGAGACCAAGATAAACTTATTTGGTTCAGATGGTGTCAAGCGTGTGTGGTGGCAACCAGGTGAGGAGTACAAAGACAAGTGTGTCTTGCCTACAGTCAAGCATGGTGGTGGGAGTGTCATGGTCTGGGGCTGCATGAGTGCTGCCGGCACTGGGGAGCTATAGTTCATTGAGGGAACCATGAATGCCAACATGTACTGTGACATACTGAAGCAGAGCATGATCCCCTCCCTTCGGAGACTGGGCCGCAGGGCAGTATTCCAACATGATAACGACCCCAAACACACTTCCAAGATGACCACTGCCTTGCTAAAGAAGCTGAGGGTAAAGGTGATGGACTGGCCAAGCATGTCTCCAGACCTAAACCCTATTGAGCATCTGTGGGGCATCCTCAAACGGAAGGTGGAGGAGTGCAAGGACTCTAACATCCACCAGCTCCGTGATGTCGTCATGGAGGAGTGGAAGAGGACTCCAGTGGCAACCTGTGAAGCTCTGGTGAACTCCATGCCCAAGAGGGTTAAGGCAGTGCTGGAAAATGATGGTGGCCACACAAAATATTGACACTTTGGGCCCAATTTGGACATTTTCACTTAGGGGCGTACTCACTTTTGTTGCCAGCGGTTTAGACATTAATGGCTGTGTGTTGTGTTATTTTGAGGGGACAGCAAATTTACACTGCTATACAAGCTGTACACTCACTACTTTACATTGTAGCAAAGTGTCATTTCTTCAGTGTTGTCACATGAAAAGATATACTCAAATATTTACAAAAATGTGAGGGGTGTACTCACTTTTGTGAGATACTGTATAAATTAGGAAACATTTCTAAAAAACTGTTTTTGCTTTGTCATTGTGGGGTACAGTGTGTAGATTCATGAGGAAAAAAAGCTATTTAATCAATTTTAGAATAAGGCTGTAACGTAACAAAATGTGGAAAAAGTCAAGGGGTCTGAATACTTTCCAAATGCACAATAGGCACAGATCTCTTTTGGGTAGTGCTTTTGTCTTAAAAACATGATTTCAGCCATTGATAAATTAACTACCACAGATGACCACATCTCTACATCTTTCCATAAAGGAAAAGCAGCACGGTTCCTGACAATGTTGCCATGACAATGTTGACAAGAAACAGGCCGAGTCCAGTCATCCAGGTTACAGTGAAACAGACAGAGACGGACCCTGGGTTGATTGGAGTGGTTAGTGTACCATTATAACTACTCTGCAGCTCCATTCTACTACTATATTATATTATGGAATATACATTTTTGAGTTAAAGCTTAGATGTTAATGAGCACTGTCCCCCCTTTTTTCTTCTTCTATTAATCATCATCCATATCTCTTGCCCTTACAGGAGTGTCCAAAATCAGAAGACTTAAAGAATACTGAAGGTACTGTACTCTCCTATATTTTTAAAACTGGTCTGATTCCTACCTGTAGTGGGAAATGGGTTTTCTATTCTCAAATCTCACTGTGAGAATAAAATGCTCTTCCTGGAATGCATTGTATGGCTGTAGTGATAAAATGATCACTACTCATTATGCTAGCCTAGCACATTATTGCTTCAAATATGCTCAGATAAGCATGTTGTCAGTTTCCAGTAAATGTTCTCACATAATGTTGGTTTTGCAAAGTGTTGCTGAAAAGATCTATATCCTTTATTGTTAGTTAAGAGCAGAAATTGTAATGACTGAGATGTTTTTCTTCTTTTATTTATGAGCCATTCTAAATTCCTGTCAGTATGCTCTTTGTAATAGTAGTGTATCTGTTGCAGCCCAGAGTGACAGGATCCCCAAGGAGAAACAACCCAGAGAGAGCCTACAGCCTGAGGAGGAGCTCTCCCCAGAGGACCTGTCTAGCCCCAACCCTGACCAGGCTGCCCCTCTCCTGCTGGGGGAGCAGAAGCATGTGGCTGGTAGGGAGACTGCTGATGAGGGATTGCCCTCCTCCAAGGGGAGTGATGAAGAAAGCACAGAGGAGACGGAGCAGGAGAAACAGCCCCAACAGGACCCCAACAACAACTCTCTAGAGGTCATTCAGGAGCATGATGACCCCCTCCCACCTCCTCCTCAGAATGACCAGCCAGAGGAGACATACTGCTCAGATGAGATCGCTGTTGTCTTTGTGGACAACTCTGGCCCATCAGCCCGCCTGGACGAGAACGACATGGTCAAGATCATCATCACCATGAGCTGTGATGCGCAGACGGCTGCGGAGCTGGAGGAGTCGGTCAAACAGAGCATCCTGGAGTCTGCCCACACACAGATGGGCATCGACCCTCATGGAGGGGCTGCTGGCGACTGCCTCATCAAAATCCCTGTTATCACCTTTGACTCGCCTGAGGATGATGAACGGAGTGATGCAGAGAATGAAGGGGAACCCTTTTCTGAGGCTGACCCTGCCCAGCTGCAGACCCCAAGCCCAGACGGCCAGATCACCAAAGAGTTGATGAGCGCTGACTCTGCCGCTCTGGACTGCCGGGACTTAGAGTACAACGAGGCAGACCTGGAACACCCCAGCCCCCAGTTGACCACAGCCGACAACAGCTCCTCTGGCATTGACGTCCACTCCCACCCTGACGAGAACGACCCTCCGGACCTCAACGTAGATGCAGACGGCTTCCTGCGAATCCCATCTATGTTCAGGAAGTACGGCCCGGGGGGCAGGACACACGTGCGAGGCCTGAGCATGGACAGCGGGAAGGATGCAGTCCTCATTGCTGACAGATCACAGAATAAACAGACCACCATGACCTCATCCAAGTCAGACCTGGAGGCCAAGGAGGGCCAGATCCCCAACGAGTCCAACTTTGTGGAGTTTGTGTCGCTGCTGGAGTCCATCAACAGCTCCAGGGGAGCCAGTGGCAGTGCAAACCCACCAGAGGAGGCGACAAAGGAGGAGGACAGAGCCATGGAGGAAGGTGAGTCCAGGCATATGCGGGGGGTTTGTCAGATAATGATGATATAAATGTAGACATTTAAGATTTTAGGAGGGAAGCTATTGTTTCTGTTGTACTAAAAGCTGTGTTTTACTCATTCTTGACTGGTAAAATTTGTATTGCTTTTGCAGAGGACGTCACTGCAAAATTTGAGGATAACACAGAGACAGAGAGACAGCAGGAGCAGCCAAACCCTCCCAATACTCTGGCCACAACAGACACCCTCCACACCATCTCCGAAACACGGATCCCCATTGTGTCCCCAGACAGGTAAACCTTTTCAAATGTCTCTTTGATAGAAAAGGTTGTCATCACAATTGACTTTCTTTTGATATTTGATCTGATCTTTATTTTGATATAATTGTTGTACAGTTTGTCCTCTACTCTCAGTCCCCAGACAGACCGGGATAAAGACCCAGACTACGACTCCCTGCCCTCCCAAACATCTCAGTCAGAGAGCTCCATGCTCCAGGTCATATGCAGACCAGAGGCCACCAACAAGGAGGACGCCTATACTTTCCATACAGTCCACAGTAAGTACAAAATATTGTTGCGCTGCATTAATTCACTGAAGTCTACAAACTCGTTATAAACCCTGGATAATGTGGTAGTGAACTGACCCATCACTAAGCTCCGCCCTAGAATTTTGGGCAACCAATCGCAGCACTTCAATGGATAGCAACTGTCGATACATTGGACAAGATTACGTTTAAATCGCATGAAAACTGATAGTTTTCTTCAAAAAATAAATGTGTAATTGGCTAAATAATTTAACAGTATCTTACTACTGCGATTCTTGAAATGAAGAGCCTGAGTATTTTTTTTATCCAAAATTATACTTTTGTTACATTGTTTGCTAGCTCAGCTGGTTAGCTAGCTCAGTCTCATTGACCACCAAACGTTGCTAACGCTAGCTAGCTAGCCACTTAATATAACTTGTTTTTCTCAAAATGTATGTTAGCTAGCTAACTCCCATCTGCTGTCGACATCAGGATATGATTTGAGAGCACTAGCTAGCTCCAAAAGTGGTTATAGCTTTGACTGCTTGCTGACAGTGAATTCAGGGCCAGTCAGTGGCTAGCTACACTACAAACATAATACTACCAGGTTCCCGTGAAGCAATTGTAATGACAGTCCACCACAACATATCCAAGAGTTTCCTGATTAGCAAGGGGTAGTCTGTATTTAATTGAATTGTGTATTAGAAACACAGTTTGAGAATATTGTGAGTGGATTTGTTTATTAGAAACACAGTTTGAGATCATTGTGAGGGGATTTTCACCAGTGGTTCAATGGGAAATTGGGCTTCCCGGGAAAATGTTGGCAGAGGTTGCAACAGTAACCAAGGGTCAGTTGTCTGTGCTATTATTGCCCAGCTATTGTATAACATACTGTAGTGTAACATACTGTATATCACTTACATCATTTCAGGTAGGTGTTTTAAACATGAGGTTCTGTCTGCTCTCTATTCCAGGAGACAGACCTCGTAAGCTGTATGCTGAGAGAGCCCTAAACCTACCCCTCGGAGCTGAACTTATCACAGGCAACATGTGGTACTATAACCTCAGTTATTTAATATGTAATATTTGTATGAAGTTGATGTTGTGTTCTATTTACATTTGACAATGTTATTTTTTTATTTTATTTTTTACGTCATGTGCTTTTACATGTAAACCTTGTCGTGTACCCAGTGATCTCCTGTCCACTTCCTCCAACTCGGAGTGCCAGGACGGGCTGGCGGGCGGGCATACAGACTGCCCCTTCCAGCGCCGCATCATCCCTGCACACAGGCTTCGGCCTCGGAGAACTCACCCCGAAATCTTCCAGGTGACTACATCCCCCCCATCTCCTCTCTCCTCCCCACTCCACCCATAAACCCTTATCTGTCCCAGACAGTGGACGCAGGCAGCCAAGGCCAAGCGGTGCTCAGACTCAGCACTGCAAATCAGAGTGCTGGCCATTCATCAAACTATAGTGACTCTGTGAGCAGAACAGAAACTGCCTGCCTGGCTCAGACATCACATAGCACATTGTCCCTCTCAGCGCCTCAGTGTTCACAACACACACACACACACACACACACACACAGGAAATACACTGGGTGAAATGCACTGATGATTATTACTTACATTGTAGCTGTATGAGATAACTGATCTAAACATTATCTGTGTCATGACAGCGTGTAGTCAGTTGTCATGAGCTGAAACCAACAGTCATGACTGTTTAAGACATCTATTATGTCAGTGTTTAGATTTATTTTACACTACAACCTGAATTCTACCACTGACAGGAGGAGGACTCGATTGATGAATCATCAGAGACCTCCACACAGGAAAAGCCCTCTCGTAAGCTGTACTACAAGCTCAAGCTTTTTCCTGGGAAGTGGGTAAACATCTTGTATGACCGGCTCACCTTGTTGGCGCTATTGGACAGGTAAGAGAAAGCGCTCCCATTCTATCTTTCCTTTTCCTTTCCCTTTTCCATTTCCCATTTTCCATCTCTCAGCGATTGATCAACTAGTTAACAGAGACTTTACTTTGACCTTTGCTCTCTGTCCTCAGGAACCATGATGTGGTGGAGAACATAGCAGTTGTGTTCCTGGCCTTCCTGGTGGCCTTCCTGGGATTCATTCTGCTCAACCACGGCTGCTTCAAAGACATCTGGGTTTTCCAGTTCTGCGTGGTCATCGCTAGCTGCCAGTACTCGTTGTTAAAGGTAAGGAAGGTATCTAATTTTGTAACAAAGCATGAGGCTTAATCAACCGTACAACCATTGCTTATCTGTATTGACATAATTCAGATCAGTGAAAGGATACCAGATCTGTGATAATACTGTGCCATTTTCAATGCCCCACCACATACTCCACTGTAACAATGGAATTAAGCTTTAGCTAAGTACTTTTTATCCGACACATTGCTGATGGAAACACATTTCTCGGGTCAGTCATTGACTGTATTTCAGTTAATCATGTTAATAACACTTTGAACAAATTGTTTGTATTACAGAGTGTCCAACCTGATGCAGCCTCGCCAACACATGTGAGTCTGTATGGAACATATTCTAAAGTTATATTGTGAAGATACAGGTAACTGCCAAAATAATGGAAACAATTGAGTAAATGAGGGATACAAAGTATATTGAAAGCAGTTGCTTCCACACAGGTGTGGTTCCTGAGTTAATTAAGCAATTAACATCCCATCATGCTTAGGGTCATGTATAAAAATGCTGGGTAGGCCATTATTTTGGCAACCATGACTATGCCCCCATAGGATGACAATGCCCCCATCCACAGGACACGAGTGGTCACTGGATGGTTTGATGAGCATGAAAACTATGTAAACCAAATGCCATGGCCGTCTCAGGCACCAGATCTCAACCCAATTGAACACCACTTATGGGAGATTCTGGAGCGGCGCCTGAGATAAAAATGCTAGGCAGGCCATTATTTCAGAAATAATAAAGGAAAAGGCGCAACACTCACTAACCATTATTTTTATTTTATTTAAGCAAGGTTAAAAGATTAACATTTCGGCCTCCAATGGCCTTCATCTGAATAATCATCAGGATTATTCTGCTGAAGGCCATTGAAGGTTGAAACGTTAATATTTTAACCTTACTTAAATACATTTTTAGTTTAATGGTGAGCGAGTGTCGCGCCTTTTCCTTTTCTGTGTTTATTGAATTTTTTGGTTGCACCTCGACTCACGTTGTTTGAGCGCCCTCCACTTCTTTCCACAGGCCATTATTTTGGCCACTATTTTGGCTAGCATGGCTATGCCCCCATAGGATGACAATGCCTCCATTGTGGTCACTGAATGGTTTGATGAGAATGAAAACGATTCAAACTGTATGCTGTGACCGTCTAAATCACCAGATTTTAACCCAATTTAACACTTATGGGAGATTCTGGAGCAGCGCCTGTGACAGCATTTTCCACCACCATCAACAAAACATAAAATTATGGAAATTCTCATGGACTAATTGGGTCGCATCCCTCCAATAGAGTTCTAGATACTTGTAGAATCTATGCCAAGATACATTGAAGCTGTTCTGGTGGCCCAACGCTCTATTAAGACACTTTATGTTGGTGTTTCCTTTATTTTGGCAGTTACCTGTACATTTTCACTGGTTGTTTAGTAAAAAAAAAATTCCAGGTAGACGGTTCGAGGCTTTCTCTATTTCATTTCTGTAGCACTCTCTTCTCTTGATGTTTTCCAGGGACACAATCAGATTGTTGCATACAGCCGGGCTGCTTATTTCTGTATTTTCTGTGGCCTTATTTGGATTCTGGAACAGATGTTAAGAAGTAAGGATCTGCCTGTGTCCACTGTATATGGCATCACCATAGTATTAGCAGATGCTCTCAAATTCTTGAGAGACATTTTAGTGGGTAAGTCACGTACCGTAAATCATTCCCATGACCTTTTTTCAGTCATCTCCATGAAATTATTTTAGATGATGTGTTTTATTTTGACATGATAAAAAGCTTATAGTTCTAAAGTCATGTCTGTTCTTTATTCCACAGGCATCACCTACTGCTTTCCTATCACATTTCTCGTTGGCCTGTTCCCACAAATCAACACCTTTATGATTTACCTGCTTGAACAAATAGACATTCATTTCTTTGGTGGAACAGGTGAGTAGCACTCTCTTCTCTGTTTAGCTTGCCCTTCATAATACCATGAACTGAATGCAAACTGTACCACCTTAAACCTAGCCCTCAACCTGATTCCTGTGTGTCCACTTCCTTTGTCAGCTGCAACTGGACTCCACTCAGCAGTGTACAGCATATTCCGTAGTCTGACGGCATTATCTTTGCTGTACGGTTTCTGTTTTGGAGCTCTGAAGGTAGGATTGAATTCATTATTGAGTAAAGACGTGTATGATTACATGAAGGATATGTTTTGCACTGCGACGGAACAGTTTGTTGCTGCAGAGGCAGCTTAGTCGAGCATGAAAAATCAAATCGCTTTTTAAGTGGCACCTCTCTGTTCTTTCAGGCTAGTGAAACCATATTCTGCTTGGGTGATGATTTAGTATTTATAACTGCTGGTAAGAGGGGTATAAGTAAAAAAAAAAAAAAACAGCCTCAAGTAGGCTCTCTGGTGGAAAAAGTTATGCCACTATGCCTGCAGTAAAGCAAAGTGTCCATATTCATCCTCACACATATCATGCCTGAATGAGTTCTCTGTATTTTTAGGGGATGGTTAGCATATAACATTTTAAATAAAATGTTCTGCTTAGGTGCAAATATCAATATTTATATTCTAAAGGAGCCCTGGGATGAACAGCATACCCCAGCCTTGTTCTCTGGGTTCTGCGGCTTGCTGGTGGTTCTCTCCTATCATCTGAGTGGGCAGAGCAGTGATCCAACTGTGCTGATGTAAGCCGCCTGCTTTTCAGCTCCTCCTATTGTTATGCCTGCTAACATGCTGACTGTATGAGAGTTGTTAGTGCTAAGGTTAAGATATTCTCATTTGTTGTGCATGGCAGGTCTCTGATCAAATCCAAACTGATGCCCACTCTGGTGGACAGTGAGGAAGAGGATGAAGACTCAGAAGACATCAAGGATCCTCTTCCAGAGAAGCTCATGAATTCAGTGGTAAGTCAGAGACTTGCATTGTTTCCTCCACTTCTAAATGGATTTGTTCCACTCAAAAGCTGTCCTCTGTTTTTGTTTCAGGACAAAAGTTTGACTTTAACACATTATTACATTCCGCAATTGTGATATTGTATGATTTGCTTTTGCAGAAGGAGATTCTTCTTTCGGATCTTGTGGTCTGCTCCATTGCCTACATTTTAACGTTTGCTATTACTTCAAGCACTGTCTTCCTGTCCTTAAAGGTGGGTTACCTACATCCAAACACCATCTCTAAACGATGTGTCATAAGTGTTGTTTGTGTCATAAAGCAATGTTGTCTCATCAGTAAATAATGACTGTGGTGTCGTAAATAAAATGTTATTTCATCGGTTCGGTATTCAGTCAACCCCCCTTGCGCTCCCTCTCTCTCCCTCCCTCGCTCTCCCTCATCCTCTCTCTTTCCCTCTCCCTTTTCTCCCTTTCTCTCTCTCTCTCTCTCTCTCTCCCACACTCTCCCTCTCTCTCCCTCTTTCTCCACAGCCCTTTGTGACCATAGTACTGTATGCACTGGCAGGGACAGTGGGCTTTGTCACCCACTATCTCGTACCCCAGTTACGGAAGCACCACCCTTGGCTCTGGATCTCTCACCCAGTACTAAAGAGCAATGAGTACTCCCAGTTTGAGCCCAGAGGTCAGTCCTGCCTTTATTGTTTAAAAAAAATGTTTTCTGACACAATGCAATCTTTCCTACAGTAGGCCTTTTGCATCTCTGGCACAAATTTGATGAAACACTACATTTAATAGCCTATAGTTCTATACACATGTGTGGGTTCAGTTAGTTGGGGAAGACCTCCTTCCTGTGCTTTCATCTTTGTCTGATGTTGATTTTAGTTTATTTATATATCAGTTTTCATTCCCCCTCTTCAAATCCAAAACCAATCCATGCAGTGTTGTCATTGATCCATTTTCACAAACAAGGAAGGACTATAAAGATTTGTCAAATGCTGCAAAAGTAATAAACAGCTCTTGCGTGTTGTGATTAAAGTTGATTTCATTTTCCAGATGATGCTCAGTTGATGTGGTTTGAGCGTCTGTACGTGGGCCTGCTGTGTTTTGAGAAATACGTGGTTTACCCAGCCATCATTCTGAGTGCGCTCACCAATGATGGCTTCTCACTCAGTCACCGCAAGAAGCTAGGCATCCAGTGAGTACCTTTCTCCTAAAGATTTGTATAAAAAACACATACTCCCTCCTTTCCCTGCAACCAAGACCCAGACCTGGGTCAAATGCAAAAGTATTTGAAAGTATTTGATGTGCGCTTGGTGTAATTTGGGGTTTGCACTTTTGGAACTATTCCAGTGGTTCCATTGTACCGAGCTAATTAAATCAAGCGCATGCCAAGTATTGGACGTATGTATTGCAGGTGGGCATTTATTGTCATGAGTCTTGCTTGCCCTGGAGGCAGAACTGAGCAGTTTCCACTAGATGGGCCAGCTGCAAAGTCAAAATGTTCTATATCATAAAAATTCATGAAAACAAAAATGCTTTTTGGTCTTAATTTAAGGTTAGGGTTAGACATTAGGGTTAGCAGTGTGGTTAAGGTTAGGTTTAAGTTTAAAATCAGATTGTATGACTTTGTGGCTGCTGTGCCAGCTAGTGACCACTCTGCAGAGATGCTTCCAGTACATGAGTCATCCCAATAAATGCCAACCTGTGTATGTATTTGACCCAGGTCTTCTAAGAACCATTTTCAGTTTGAAACCATTTTATTTAGAAAATCTGTCTAACATTCAGTTTGGAATGTAAAGTTAATCTCTTGGCAGGTAGACAGTGTGAAATACTTTAAACTTGCCTCTGTCCCACTTACGTAATTACCTTAAAATGTCAACATAAATCTTAATGTGCAGGTAACTGCCAAAATAATGGAGCGTTACAAAGTATATTGAAATTAGGTGCTTCCACACAGGTGTGGTTCCTGAGTTAATTAAGCAGTTAACATCCCATGATGTATAAAAATACTAGGCAGGCCATTATTTTAGAAATAATAAAGGAAAAGGCGCAACACTCGCTAACCATTATTTGTATTTTATTTTATTTAAGGTTAAAAGATTAACATTTCGGCCTCCAATGGCCTTCATCTGAATAATCATCAGGATTATTCTGCTGAAGGCCATTAAAGGTCGAAACGTTAATCTTTTAACCTTACTTAAATACATTTTTAGTTTAATGGTGAGCGAGTGTCGCGCCTTTACCTTTTCTGTGTTTATTGAATTTTTTGGTTGCACCTCGACTCACGTTGTTTGAGCGCCCTCCAATTCTTTCCACAGGCTATTATTTTGGCCACTATTTTGGCTAGCATGGCTATGCCCCCATAGGATGACAATGCCTCCATCCACAGGGCACGAGTGGTCACTGAATGGTTTGATGAGAATGAAAACGATTCAAACCGTATGCTGTGACCGTCTAAATCACCAGATTTTAACCCAATTGAACACTTATGGGAGATTCTGGAGCAGCGCCTGTGATAGCACCATCAACAAAACACCAAGTTATGGAATTTCTCGTGGAAGAATGGTGTCGCATCCCTGCAATAGAGTTCCAGACACTTGCAGAATCTATGCCAAAGTGCATTGAAGCTGTTCTGGCTCGTGGTGGCCCAACACTCTATTAAGACACTTTATGTTGGTGTTTCCTTTATTTTGGCAGTTACCTGTAGCACCTGGGGAAACCTTTTCTGGAAACACACAGTTCTTCATAGGTTTATATAGTCTCCACCACTCCCTTCTGTGCATCTTGGAGGTGGAACAAAACCTAAGTACCTTAATCAATCACATAAATATAACTTTCAACCCAGTCTGAATTATGTACATGTACTAACTAGTAGACAGTCAGTCACTATGATGTCATCATCATCTGAGCCTGGTCATCATGACAACAGTCACTATGCATATCACTTCCCTTGCTAGGGAAGAAAGTGTGATGTATATACAGTATTTGCTAGTATTAGTGCATTTCTCTCCCCTGCCCCCCTCCCACTCCATGTCACCCCTCTGCTTTGCTCCGCTGTGTCATGCCTGTACACCTGAGTCGCTCAGGTCTCTGTGTCTCGCTCCAGCTGTGATGTCTTGTTGATGACAGTTGCTGGGTTGAAGCTCCTCCGCGCCTCCTTTTGCAATCCAAGCTTCCAGTTCGTCACTCTCATCTTCACAATCGTCTTCTTCGAGTTCGACTGCAGCAGGGCCTCAGAGACCTTTCTGCTGGACTTCTTTATCATGTCCATTGTCTTCCACAAGGTCAGTCTGCGACGTGACTGGAGACTGGTACACACACTCCCAATGACAGACCTCTCACTACGATAATGTAGGAAATAAATACAACTCACTATGACTGCGGTCCCCAAACTCCCTACAGTTGATTAACAAACGTACAGTAGTATTTTTTCGGGGTCTGTGTGAAGCAGCGAACACCTGCCAGCTGCTCTGTATATAGAGTGGCCTTCCTACTTTTGATTACCTTGGATTTATTTTAGGATCTGGTCTAAAAATAACTGACTTTGCTGTCTGTCAGTGACTCACAGCAGGTCTTTGTTCCTCTACAGCTCAGTGATCTGCTTCACAAGCTCCACTTCATCATGGTCTATATCGCACCGTGGCAGATCGCATGGGGCAGCGCCTTCCATGCATTTGCTCAGCCCTTCGCTGTGCCTCGTATCCTTTGGTTTTGACATGTGTAGGAACTACACAAGCTTCCACATATGTTTTGAGGTTGCTCTGACTGAAACTGTAATGTAACAGCGAATTTAACAGAAGATATGTGAGTATGGTAAACCTGTTGTCTCCAGTTGAATTGATACCTGTTGGTTGTTCCTTGGTTGTGGTGGTTCTCCTTCATGATGCAGCTCAGACTCAGCCATGTTGCTGCTGCAGACGTTCGTCACGACTCTGTTCTACACCCCTCTCAGCCCCTTCCTGGGCAGCGCCATCTTCATCACCTCCTACCCACGGCCCGTCAAGTTCTGGGAGAGGAACTACAAGTAATGGCCTTTCACCGCTCGCAGCATGAGATAAAGCACCATGAAATATGCATGCACCCCTTAATGCACCACGGTGTGTCGGCCGCACCCCAGGGCATCCAGCCTTAGAGATGGGACATGGGAAAGTCCATTATGAATAAAGAGGGGGATGAGGGACGTCCGACTCAGTTTGAGTCTATGACCAAACCATTGAGTTAGGTCACTGTCAATAACATTTTGTTTTTCATTTGATAAAAGTTCATTGTTAGTCACTCACATCTGCTTCATCTGTTTTTAATGTGTTCAGGAAATATGCAAGTGGTGAATTCTATGGCCTCCTAAATCCCCTGTGGACATCCATATAAGGACATTTCTGTCTCAGAGATGATGTCATGCACTCAGCTGAATGAGCTAAGTGTTAGTGCTATCCTGGATCCTTGGGATCCTTTAACCCTAAACCCTAACCTTAACCACTACCCTTACCCTAACCTTAACCCTTACCTTAACCATTTAAAATTTCAACTTCAATGGGGTAGGGACATCCCAAGGATTCCGGATAGCAAGGACCCTGAGCTAAGTGCTCTAGGCTAGGGATAGACAAGCAGAGTATAGAGACTACCAAAGATGGTGGATAAATGAAGAAGTCTTACTCAGGACGTTTGTCTCTCCCATTGCGGTAGCAACTGGGTCTGGTCTGTTTAGTTAATTGACTGAAAAAAGGAGCCAGTGAGATGTCTCGCTTCCGCTTCCATCTCTAACTCTACTCCAGTCACTGAGTTATTGATGAGGATTTATGTAACTCATTTAACAGACAGAAAAGGTCCTAAAAATAAACCAGAATGCTCTCCTATGGTATGTTAGACAATGTTTACCTTATTTTAATGAATGTACTGTCTCCCTAATCTATGGTTTTGTACCATTTTGCAGCACCAAACGCATTGACAACTCTAATAGCAGACTGGTATCTCAGGTTGATAAAGAGACAGGTAACATTGAGTTTATTGAATAAATATCAACATGTTTTTCCCCCTAATTAACGTTAAAATAATAATCTGATTTAGAATTTCTCAACTCTACAAGGATCTTCTTATGGTTAATACATGTTGGTTTGTTTCTCATGTCAATCAGTGTATTTTACATAAACCTTTATTCCCCCAGGATGCGACGACAACAACCTGAACTCCATCTTCTATGAGTATCTGACGCGCTCTCTGCAGCACTCTCTGTGTGGTGACTTGATGCTGGGCCGCTGGGGGAACTACAGCTCTGGAGACTGCTTCATCCTGGCCTCTGACTACCTCAACGCCTTCGTTCACCTCATCGAGATTGGCAACGGCCTGGTCACCTTCCAGCTCCGAGGCCTGGAGTTCAGAGGTCAGATACTGACTAATATACAGCAACACAGTGAGGAGCACTATACCACATCCAGAGCCATATACAGTGCATTCGGAAAGTATTCAGACCCTTTGACTTTTTCCACATTTTGTTACGTTACAGCCTTATTCTGAAATAGATTAAATCGTTTTTTCCCCTCATCAATCTACACACAATACCCCATAATGAAAAAGCAAAAACTGGTTTTTAGACATTTTTGCAAATGTATTAAAAATAAAATACTACATTTACATAAGTATTCAGACCCTTTACTCAGTACTTTGTTGAAGCACCTTTGGCAGCGATTACAGTCTCGAGTCTTCTTGGGTATGACGCTACAAGCTTGGCACACCTGTATTTGGGGAGTTTCTCCCATTCTTCTCTGCAGATCCTCTCAAGCTTTGTCAGTTGTATGGGGAGCATCGCTGCACAGCTATTTTCAGGTCTCTCCAGAGATGTTTGATCAGGTTCAAGTCCGGGCTCTGGCTGGGCCACTAAAGGACATTCAGAGACTTGTCCCAAAGTCACTCCTGCATTGTCTTGGCTGTGTGCTTACAGTCGTTGTCCTATTGGATGGTAAACCTTCGCCCCAGTCTGAGTTCCTGAGCACTCTGGAGCAGGTTTTCATCAAGGATCTCTCTGTACTTTGCGCCGTTCATCTTTCCCTCGATCCAGACTAGTCTCCCAGTCCCTGCCGCTGAAAAACATCCACACAGCATGATGCTGCCACCACCATGCTTCACCGTAGGGATGGTGCCAGATTTCCTCCGGAGGTGACCCTTGGCATTCAGGCCAAAGAGTTCAATCTTGGTTTCATCAGACCAGAGAATCTTGTTTCTCATGGTCTGAGAGTCCTTTAGGTGCCTTTTGGCAAACTCCAAGCGGGCTGTCATGTGCCTTTGACTGAGGAGTGGCTTCCATCTGGCCACTCTACCATAAAGGCCTGATTGGTGGAGTGCTGCAGAGATGGTTGTCCTTCTGGAAGGTTCTCCCATCTCCACAGAGGAACTCTGGAGCTCTGTCAGAGTGACCATCGGGTTCTTGGTCACCTCCCTGACCAAGGCCCTTCTCCCCCGATTGCTCAGTTTGGCCGGGCGGCCAGCTCTAGGAAGAGTCTTGGTGGTTCCAAACATCTTCCATTTAAGAATGATGGAGGCCACTGTGTTCTTGGGGACCTTCAATGCTGCAGAAATGTATTGGTACCCTTCCCCAGATCTGTGCCTCGACACAACCCTGTCTCAGAGCTCTACGGACAATTCCTTCATCCTCATGACTTGGTTTTTGCTCTGACATGCACTGTCAACTGTGGGACCTTTTATAGATAGGTGTGTTCCTTTCCAAATCATGTCCAATCAATTGAATTTACCACAGGTGGACTCCAATCAAGTTGTAGAAACATATCAAGGATGATCAATGGAAACAGGATGCACCTGAGCTCAATTTCGAGTCTCAAGCAAAGGGTCTGAATACTTATGTAAATAAGGTATTTCTGTTTTTTATTTTTAATACATTTGCAAAAATGTCTAAACCTGTTTTCGCTTCGTCATTATGGGGTATTGTGTGTAGATTGATGGAAACAATTATTTAATCAATTTTAGAATAAGGCTGTAACGTAACAAAATGTGGAAAAAGGGAGGGGGTCTGAATACTTTCCGAATGCACTGTACATCTATATACACACTCTACTGATATGGGAAATATCTTGACTGTGTTGAATGTTACATGTTTGATACATTTAATTTAATTCAGAAGTTATTCCATTTTTATTTGAAATTGTTTTATATAATAATCATAAGCCTTACATCTCTACCACAGACTTACAATCACCATTAACATGATGGTCTGTGCTCCTTCTCCTCCTCCCCAGGTACATACTGCCAGCAGAGGGAGGTAGAGGCCATCACTGAGGGGGTGGAGGAGGACGATGCCTGTTGCTGCTGTGAGCCGGGCCACCTGCCCCACGTCCTGTCCTGCAACGCGGCCTTCAACCTGCGATGGCTGGCCTGGGAGGTCACCACCACCAAGTACCTGCTGGAGGGCTACAGTATCAGCGAGAACAACGCTGCCACCATGCTGCAGGTGTACGACCTGCGCAAACTGCTCATCACCTACTATCTGAAGGTTTTAGACCTTTTTACTTCTTATGGAAATGTAACAGACAAAGGTTTTTGAATTTGAATTTAACCTATGATCTAAGCAGTATTATAAACTGAGTGGTTTGAGGCCTGAATGCTGATTGACTGAAAGTCGTGGTATATCAGACCATATACCACGGGTATGACACAAATTACTTGTTTACTGTTCTAATTATGTTGGTAACCAGATTATAATAGCAATAAGGCACCTCAGGGGTTTGTGATATATGGCCAATATACCACGATTAATGGCTGTATCTAGGCACTCCGCGTTGCGTCGTGCATAGGAACAGCCCTTAGCCATGGTATATTGACCATATACCACACCCCCTCAGGCCTTATTGCTTAATTATATTCACTTTTGTTTACTTTCACCATCTTTGTAATTCATTACCGGTTTTATTTCATAAGCAGTTCAATACGTTTCATCCCACGGTAAGTCTGAGCATCGTCTTATGCAAGCAAAAGGGAGTAGACCATAAAAAAATATATTTGAACCTCATCAATCTTCTGTTATTATTCCCTCTCGTTTCACTTCTAGAGCATAATCTACTACCTGATCCACTCTCTGAAGCTACAGGCGTGGATCAAGGATCCCTCTATCACGGAGGCTCTGGTGTCCTACACCAAGTGGCACCACATAGAGAGAGACCCAGCCGTGTTCAGCGTTAAGATAGACGAGGACTACGTCCACTGCCTCCAGGGTGTCACCAGGGCCAGCTTCTGTAACGTCTATCTGGAGTGGATCCAGTACTGTGCCAACAAAATGGAGGAGGTGAGTGGAGATGTGAGATTGCAATGAACAGTACAATCATGCATGTAGTCAAGAAAAACTCCAGTCCCCAGTCTAGGTCATTCTTTCTGGTCAGCTCATGTGGTTAGGAAAACTCCAGACCCAAGTCTAGTTAATTTTTCCTGGTCAGGAAAACTCCAGGCCCTCCAGGCCCAAGTCTAGTTCATTTTTCCTGTTCAGGAAAACTCTAGGAACTAGTTCATTTTTACATTTACATACATTTTACATTTTAGTCATTTAGCAGACGCTCTTATCCAGAGCGACTTACATGAGCAATTAGGGTTAAGTGCCTTGCTTAAGGGCACAGACAGATTTTTCACCTAGTCGGCTCGGGGATTAGAACCAGCGACCTTTCGGTTACTGGCACAACGCTCTTACCCACTAAGCTACCTGCCGCCTATTTTTCCTGATAAGGTGTGGTCAGGAAAAACTCCAGGGCCTTATCATGACATGCAATATGTCCCCATGTTGTACAGTTTGGTTTCCTTGCTGCTGGTCATTTCAGTGGATGTGAACACTGATGACCTTTGACCTTTGTGTTTTGCCAGCCTGTGGACTGTGACGAGGACTCCCCTCTGGTCACTCTGTGCTATGCCTTGTCTGTGCTGGGCAGGAGATCCTTGGGGACAGCATCTCACAACATGTCCAACAGGTAAACCTTCCATAGCTGTCAAATATTCATTCCTTTCATGTTAAATATGGGGTTTTATTACCCTCCAGGCATGGATGGTAAAAACACATCAATCCACACTAAGCTGTAGTTCCATTAAGATTCCATAAGGGGGCAGCTATGTCTCTCGTGTGGTCAGGTGCCACAAGGAAGGACCTCGGAAAATTACAATTGGCTCAGAACAATGCAGCACGGCTGGCCCTTAAATGTAAACGGAGAGCTAACATTAATAATATGCATGTAAATCTCTCATGGCTTAAAGTGGAGGAGAGATTGACTTCATCACTACTTGTTTTTGTAAGAAGTGTTGACATGCTGAACGCACCGAGGTGTCTGTTTAAACTACTATCACACGGTTCGGATACCCATGCATACCCCGGACACCCATGCAATCCCCAAGTCAAGAACAGACTATGGGAGGCGCACAGTACTACATAGAGCCATGACTATATGGAACTCTATTCCACATCAGGTAACTGATGCAATCAGTAGAATCAGATTTTAAAAACTGATACAAATACACCTTATGGAACAGCAGGTGAAGAGACACACACACACAGGAACAGACACGCATACGCACACACACGCTAGCACACGCCCTCTACACACACGTACATTGTAGTATTGTTGTATGGTGGTTTTATACATTTTGTATTGTAGATATGTAGTGGTGTAATAATGTTATATGATGTACTGTTTTATATTTTGTTTTATGTGTGATGTAAGTGCCTTAATGTGTTTGGACCCCAGGAAGAGTAGATACAAATACAGTGTAGTATCACAGTACACTGTATACAAGTACACTGTAGTATCACAGTACACTGTATACAAGTACACTGTAGTATCACAGTGGTACGCAAGTCTCTATAAACTCTAACCCTCTGTTTGCTATAATGTGATAAAAACCTTGACAATGGTCCCTTTCTCTGTCTCTCTAACTCAGTTTGGAGTCGTTCTTGTATGGGTTCAACACTCTGTTCAAAGGAGACTTCCGTATTGCCACTAAAGATGAGTGGGTGTTTACGGATATGGATCTGCTGCAGAAAGTGGTGGCCCCAGGTGTGAGGATGAGTCTCAAGCTCCATCAGGTATTCACAATAGCCAATCTTGAAGACAATAACATTTGCTCTCTTGCTCCCTTATTGAAGTAGGATATGTAGGTGACTGTACATTTAACCTTGAACTCTTCCTGTGCATTCTCAGTGGACTGTACATGTATCTATTAACTATGGTATCTTGCTGTACAGTGCCTTCAGAAAGTATTCACACCCCTTGACTTTTTCCACATTTTGTTGTGTTACAGACTGAATTTAAAATGGATTAAATTGAGATTTTTTGGTCACTGGCCTACACACAATACCCCATAATGTCAACATGGAATTATGTTTTTAGAAATGTTTACAAATTAATTTAAAATGAAAAGCTGAAATGTCTTCAGTCAATAAGTATTCAACTCCTTTGTTATGGCAAGCCTAAATTAGTAAACAGGAGTAAACATTTGCTTAACAAGTCACATAATAAGTTGAATGGACTGTGTGCACTAATAGTGTTTAACAAGATTTTTGACTAACTACCTCATCTCTGATCTGTAAGGTCCCTCAGTTGAACAGTGAATTTCAAACACAGATTCAACCACAAAGACCAGGGAGGTTTTCCAATGCCTCGCAAAGAAGGGCACCTATTGGTAGATTGTTTTTTTTTTTTAAAGCAGACATTGAATATCCCTTTGAGCATGGTGAAGTTATTAATTACACTTTGGATGGTGTATCAATACACCCAGTCACTACAAAGATACAGGCGTGCTTCCTAACTCAGTTGCCAGAGAGGAAGGAAACCGCTCAGGGATTTCATCATGAGGCCAATGGTGACTTTAAAACAGGTACAGAGTTTAATGGCTGCGATATGAGAACACTGAGGATGGATCAACAACATTGTAGTTACTCCACAATACTAACCCAAATGACAGAGTGAAAAGAAGGAAGCCTGTACAGAAAAAAAATATTCCAAAACATGCATCCTGTTTGTCCTGAAAACAAACTGTTATGTCTTTGGCAAATCCAATACAACACATTACTGAGTACCACTCTCCATGTTTTCAAGCATAGTGGTGGCTGCATCATGTTATGAGTATTATTGTAATCATTAAGGACTGGGGAGTTTTTCAGGAAAAAAAAAACAGAATGGCGCTAAGCACCAAATCTACACTGGAGTTTCTTACCAAGACAGTAAATGTTCCTGAGTGGCCGAGTTACAGTTTTAACTTAAATCTACTTGAAAATCTAGGGCAAGACCTGAACTTGGTTGTCTAGCAATGATCAGCAACCAATATGACAAAGCTTGAAGAATTTTGAAAAGAATAATGGGCAAATGTTGCACAATCCATGTGTGGAAAGCTCTTAGAGACTTATCCAGAAAGACTCGCAGCTGTAATTGCTGCCAAAGGTGATTCTAACATGTATTGGCTCAGGGGGTTGAATACTTATATATCTAATACATTTTTTTTCTTCATATTGTTTTTTACAAATGTTATAATTTCTCTTCCACTTTGACATTACAGAATATTTTGTGTAGATTGTTGACAAAAAATTCAATTAAATCCATTTTAATCCCACTTTGTAACACAACAAAATGTGGAAAAAGTCAAGGGGTGTGAATACTTTCTGAAGGCACTTTACAGTAGAGCTGCAAAGATTTATTTATTTAGGCCAGGATGCATTGTCGATAAGTGCACTGACTGCACTTTGCTTTTAAAGGTTATTTACCCTTGAGCTGACATCTGCAGTGTTTACTGTGAATGTGATTCCCGCAAATGTCAGAGAAATTTAAAAGGAGCAATTCACGGGTAAAAGCTGCGGATGTCGGCTCAAGCGCAAATTACAGTAGAAAAGTTTTCGACAATGCTTTATTGAATCCTGTCCTTAAAGTGGTTCAGTAAATCCCTGAAATAAAGCTTTTACTTACGGCGGTTCTACTTACTGCTCTGTTCCTTGGTTGTTCTCAGGACCACTTCACATGTCTGGAGGAGACCGAGGAGCCAGCCATCTTGTACGAGGCCATTAGTAACTACAAGACCAGTCTGGTGATCTGCCATGAAAGTGACCCAGCCTGGAGGAAGGCGGTTCTGTCCAGCCGGGACACTCTTCTTACACTGAGACACATGGTGGACGACGGCACGGACGAGTACAAGATCATCATGCTCTACAAACGCCACCTCAGCTTCAAGGTCATAAAGGTGGGTGTGGGATGAATGGTGTACAGTAGGGTGAAGTTGCCCCTAGACACTGATCTAGGGTCAGTTTTGCATTTTCCCCATCAATGGTTAAAAAACTGAAGTAAGCAATATGGCAGTTTTTCTGGCACTGACTTCAGTGCCTTCAGAAAGTATTCACACCCCTTGACTTTTTCCACATGTTATTGTGTTACAAAGTGGGATTAAATGGATTTAATTGTAATTTTTTGTCAAAGTGGAAGTACAAATGTGTGTTGTGTATTCAGATGTCAGTAATACTACCCTCTTCATCCTCTCCTCTCTTCTAGATAAATAAGGAGTGTGTAAGGGGCCTGTGGGCCGGCCAGCAGCAGGAGCTGGTGTTCTTGCGCAACCGCAACCCGGAGCGCGGCAGCATCCAGAACTCCAAGCAGGCCCTGCGAAACATGATCAACTCGTCGTGCGACCAGCCGCTGGGCTACCCCATGTACGTGTCCCCCCTCACCACCTCCTACATGGGCACCCACAAGCAGCTGAGGAGCATCTGGGGCGGCCCTCTCAGCCTGGACAGCATCAGGACCTGGCTCTTCTCCAAGTGGCTGCGGTGAGTGCTGGCTGCCAAGGGGAAACAGAAGGGTCTCCTTTATCAGCCAGTCTGCTAATGCTCTGCTCCCCTATGGATGGAATCCAATCAAGGCCTTTTCTGCTGTGACAGCACCACTCTTCCCAAACCCTATAGGGCTAAAGTGCTGCTACGTGTTTGGCTGCATCCAGAGCGATTGAAATAACTAACTGACCATTAGCATCTTCTGTTAGTCTAATGGAACTTTTATGTTTAGTGTGTGTATTGGGTGGAGGTACGGCTGCACTGTGTAAGCCTTTTATAGATCCATGCTTTCGATTGAGATTAGATGTAGATTTTTAAATCCAGATTCATTGCCCTTGAGTTAAATGTTTTTACAAAATGTTAATAGCGCTGTCGAAGGGCATAGAAAGGTAACATAGGCCTGTGTGTGTGTGTGTGTGTGTGTGTGTGTGTGTGTGTGTGTGTGTGTGTGTGTGTGTTGTGTTGCAGGGTGCGGAAGGATAACCTGACCAGTTGTAACAGTGGGGTGAACATGGAGGATGTGGACTGTGCAGGGGGCTCCTCTTCTCTGAGCCACAACCCAAACTCCATCACCTCCCAGAGCCTGAGTCTTTACCAGGCCAGGCCCAACAGGACCTCTCACGCCAATAGGCAGCACGCTGCAGGTTTGGTTCACCAGCTTTTCTCTACTGGAGATGCACACATATGCTCTCAACAAATGCAATACATAATATGTTTAAAGGGATGGTTCACCCAAGTTACTAATTTACATATTGGTTTCCTTACCATGAAAGCATTACACATCTAAGTAGAGTACATTGATGTGTCTTGCACAGCTATGTTCAGGGTTCTGCCATGTTAGGTTCTGCCAGCTATGTTCATGGTTCTGCCATGTTAGGTTCTGACAGCTATGTTCATGGTTCTGCCATGTTAGGTTCTGCCAGCTATGTTCATGGTTCTGCCATGTTAGGTTCTGCCAGCTATGTTCATGGTTCTGCCATGTTGGGTTCTGCCAGCTATGTTCATGGTTCTGCCATGTTAGGTTCTGCCAGCTATGTTCAGGGTTCTGTCATGTTAGGTTCTGACACTGACTGTGTCTTCTTGCCTTCATGTGCATCCATCCAGCCAGGAGAGAGTACCGGAGCCGCTCAGTGCAGCCCCAGAGCCAGCGGCCTCCAGTCACCAGCCAGTCAGGGCCCATCCTGGACAGCCAGCAGGTGTCAGCTTCGGCCAACGGCCTGGTACAGCGCCTCTCCAACAGCCAGCTGTCCTTCAACACCTCCATCGCCTCCATCTTCTCCCAGGTGCCGCGGCTCTCCACGGCCGGGGGCCAGCTGAGCTCCCAGCTCCAGGCTGCAGCCCACCACCGCTCAAGCCAGGTGTCCTCCTCCAGCTCCACCCTCAGCCTGCTGTTCGGCAAGAGGAGCTTCTCCAGCGGTCTGGTCATTTCCGGCCTGTCGGCGGCCGAGGGGGGCAACACCACGGACACGCAGTCGTCCAGCAGCGTCAACATCGCCATGGGTGGACCCTCCTGCCGGTCCACTAGCCGAGCCACACAGGTAGAAGTCAGAGCTCCAGCCCGATAACATATTTAGTAGCATTTATTAAGCTTAATTCATGAGACTAAATTAACGTTTAACTATGTTGTGGTTAACTATGTTAGCGTTTAATGTCAACAGTTGATTGAGGACACTTATCAGACATGGGTCAGAACCTTTAAATAAGTCAAATTCAAATTAGACAACATTTGCTTTTTAACTGGTACAATGCATCAGATTTCAGATTGTATTAAATCAATTTAATAAAATAATTAATAATTCATTAATACTTTTCTATCTGTTCTATGTTTCTCCCAGTGGACATCAGAGCCCTACGAGAGTATAGACGCAACCTACTCCAACACTCCCAATGGCGCGAAAGACAACAAGCCTTCAAGTGACAAATGCTGCACACAGGGCGCGGATAAGAGCCAGGAGGACACAACGACTTCTGAAACCCAGGAACTTCCAGAGCAAAAGACTATCTGAGACCACCAACACCTGCCTCACTCCGCAGCATGTTCAGCCCCAGGGTTCTGAATGTAAACAAAAATGTCTGTTGCTCGAGTGACAAAATAAACGGATACTTTTTTGTAAAAAAGAACACTCCTGCACCATTCATTATCCTACGCCGGGAGGGTTGTCCAAGGGTTGTGAATTATGTGGTGTGTTAATAGTGTACTAAACTCATAAACACTTAACAAAATAAACACATTCAAAGGTTCAGTCGTGTTCAGAGTGTCGCTGGATCACTAGATTCATTTCATACTGTGGAGTAAATGTGGACAATAATCACAGATAATTTTAAGGATATATCTGGTGCATGAGATATGGACACCTTCCATGGACTGATGTTCATTTTTCACAATGTGCTCTGTACTAATAAAAAACCTAACAAATAGGTGCTTGAAACAAAAGTTTTGAGCGTGAATAAATTGGAAAATATTTGGTCATTTTCTAAAGGTTGTCTCAGGAGTGGAGACAGGAGAATGCAGACATTGGTTGGTGAGGTGCTGGCTGGGAAAGTAGAACACTTAAGCCTTTTCTCAATTGTGCAAAAGTAAGTCCTCTTCTCGACTCCTCCGTCTTCCTCTCCTCCGTGTCCCGGAAACTGATAATTGGTCGCCATATACATTTACATTTACATTTTAGTCATTTAGCAGACGCTCTTATCCAGAGCGACTTACAGTTAGTGAGTGCATACATTATAATTTTTTAGAATTGTTTTTTTATTTGTATTTTTTTTAATACTGGCCCCCCGTGGGAATCGAACCCACAACCCCTGGCGTTGCAAACATATGTAGGAGAGTGTCAATTCGTTAATAGGTGAACGGAGGAGTTTGCTCCTCTCCTCGATTGCCGCCTCTGCGGAGGATTCTCGGGTGTATCCTACCGCAGTTGTTTTCTTGGAGGAGAAAAGCATGCATATGTTTAAAAACAACACTACTTATCCTTTATGTATAGATAGTCTAGCACAACTCCATACATTTCTTTTTACCACATTAAAGGTCCAATGCAACTGTTTTTATTTCAATATCAAACCATTTCTAGGTAACAATTAAGTACCTCACTGTGATTATTTCCAATTAAAATGGTCAAAAAGAAACAAAAATAGCTTCTTAGCAAAGAGCAATTTCTCAAGCAAGAATTTTGCTAGGACTGTCTGTGAGTGGTCTGAGTGGAGAGAGGCAAACTGAAAACGAGCTGTTATTGGCAGAGAGGTATGTAACTCTCTTTCTTATTGGTCTATTAACTAATTCACTAAAAGCCCAGCAGCGTTACAGTTCTTGACACAAACCGGTGCGCCTGGCACCTACTACCATACCCCGTTCATAGGCACTTACAGTTGAAGTCGGAAGTTTACATACACCTTAGCCAAATACATTTAAACTCAGTTTTTCACAATTCCTGACATTTAATCCTAGTAACAATTCCCTGTCTTAGGTCAGTTAGGATCACCACTTTATTTTAAGAATGTGAAATGTCAGAATAATAGTAGAGAGAATTATTTATTTCAGCTTTTATTTCTTTCATCACATTCCCAGTGGGTCAGAAGTTTACATACACTCAATTAGTATTTGGTAGCATTGCCTTTACATTTTTTAACTTGGGTCAAACGTTTCGGGTAGCCTTCCACAAGCTTCCCACAATAAGTTGGGTGAATTTTGGCCCATTCCTCCTGACAGAGCAGGTGTAACTGAGTCAGGTTTGTAGGCCTCCTTGCTCGCACATGCTTTTTCAGTTCTGCCCACAAATGTTCTATAGGATTGAGGTCAGGGCTTTGTGATGGCCACTCCAATACCTTGACTTTGTTGTCCTTAAGCCATTTTGCCACAACTTTGGAAGTATGCTTGTCGTCATTGTCCATTTGGAAGACCCATTTGCGACCATGCTTTAACTTCCTGACTGATGTCTTGAGATGTTGATTCAATATATCCACATCATTTTCCTTCCTCATGATGCCATCTATTTTGTGAAGTGCACCAGTCCCTCCTGCAGCAAAGCACCCCCACGGCATGATGCTGCCACCTCCGTGCTTCACGGTTGGGATGGTGTTCTTCGGTTGCAAGCATCCCCCTTTTTCCTCCAAACATAACAATGGTCATTAAGGCCAAACAGTTCTATTTTTGTTTCATCAGACCAGAGGACATTTCTCCAAAAAGTATGATCGTTGTCCCCATGTGCAGTTGCAAACCGTAGTCTGGCTTTTTTATGGCGGTTTTGGAGCAGTGGCTTCTTCCTTGCTGAGTGGCCTTTCAGGTTATGTCGATATAGGACTTGTTTTACTGTGGATATAGATACTTTTGTACCCGTTTCCTCCAGCATCTTCACAAGGTCCTTTGCTGTTGTTCTGGGATTTATTTGCACTTTTCGCACCAAAGTACGTTCATCTCTAGGAGACAGAACGATTCTCCTTCCATAGCTTTCACCTGGATTCACCTGGTCAGTCTATGTCATGAAAGAGCAGGTGTTCATAATGTTTTATACACTCAGTGCCTTCGGAAAGTATTCAGACCCATTTACTTTTTCCACATTTTGTTACGTTACACCCATATTCTAAAATTGATTAAATTGTTTTGCATAAATACCCCATAATGACGAAGCAACAACTGGTTTATAGAAATGTTAGCACATTTATTTAAAAAAATATTTAAAATAATCACATTTACATAAGTATTCAGACCCTTTACTCAGTACTTTGTTGAAGCACCTTTGGCAGCGATTACAGCCTCAAGTCTTCTTGGGTATGACGCTACAAGCTTGGCAGACCTTTATTTGGGGAGTTCCTCCCATTCTTCTCTGTAGATCCTCTCAAGCTCTGTCAGGTTGGATGGGGAGCGTCGCTGCACAGCTATTTTCAGGTCTCTCCAGAGATGTTTGATCGGGTTCAAGTCCGGGCTCTGGCTGGGCCACTCAAGGACATTCAGACTTGTCCCGAAGCCACTCCTGTGTTGTCTTGGCTGAGTGCTTAGGGTCGTTGTCCTGTTGGAAGGTGAACCTTCGCCCCTGTCTGAGATCCTGAGCAGGTTTTCATCAAGGATATCTCTGTACTTTGCTCCGTTCATCTTTGCCTTGATCCTGACAAGTCTCCCAGTCCCTGCTGCTGAAAAACATCCCCACAGCATGATGCTGCCACCACCATGCTTCACCGTAGGGATGGTGCCAGGTTTCCTCCAGACGTGACGCTGCACACTTAAGCAGACCAGGATCCAATTGGTCGGCCCCTGTGGATTGCTTGTTGTCTATTGTTAGCAAAGCATCCAGGTGTCACAAATTCAGCTGAGGCTGCCCCTCCTCCTTGCTCGGGCAGGTTTCGGCGTTCGTCGTCACCGGCTTACTAGCCACTACCGCTCCATTAATCATCACTCCATTTGTCTTGTCTTATCTTGTCTTGTCAATCACACACACCTGGTACTCATTCCCGCATTAGTCTGTGTATAAGTGTTCCCTCTGCCCCCTTGTCCTTTGTGAGTGATTGTTCATTGTGAGAGTAGGTAGCTCGGTTGAGCTACTCTTTCCTTGTATGTAGCCAAGGTGGATTTTTCCCTTGTGCTAGTTTCGTTTTGACGCTTGCTGCGCTTTATTCATGTACACTGAATAAACTCTGGATTTCTGTGTTATACCTCCTGCGCCTGACTCAGTCATTCACACCTCATCACAGAATCACTCACCTCTATGGAGTCAGCAGGAGAGGAGCGCATGCCTGGAATAGTGGCAAGGGTCCAGGAACATTCCACTATGCTGGCCAGCTTGGTGGAAGCGATGGATCGGGTTCTTCAGGTCGTCCAACGCCTGGAGAGAAGAGGAACCGATCCGTCGAGACCAGCTGGCCAACCGGATCCAGCCACCTACATCACAGCACCCGGAGGGATCCAGATATCTCGACCACGGGTGTTCGATGGGACGCCGGCTCTATGTCAGAGATTCCTTCTCCAACTGGAGCTGTACTGCTCCAGTGTCCGGCCGGCGCCATCAGATCGAGAGCAGGTGTCCTTCCTCATTTCCTGCATCTCGGGGAAAGCCCTGGAGTGGGCCAACGCGGTTTGGAGAGAAGGAGGAGCCGTGTTGGAGGAATACAGGTTCGCCCGCCTATTTCGGGCGGTTTTCGATCACCCGCCCGAGGGTCGAGAGGCGGGTGAGCAGCTGGTCCACTTGAGGCAGGGGACGAGGACAGTACAGGAGTTTGCGCTGGAGTTCCGGATTCTGGCAGCAGGATCCGGGTGGAACGAGCGGGCCCTGAACAACCAGTTCCACAGGTGTGGAAATGGAGGGCCACCGCATTGCAGCCGTGCGTAATTGGCCGACTCCAACCACGGTAAAGGAGGTGCAGCGCTTCCTTGGCTTCGCCAACTATTATCAGAGGTTTATCCGGGGCTTTGGCAAGGTCGCAGCTCCCATTACATCTCTGTTGAAGGGTGGGCAGTCCCGGCTCCGCTGGTGTGCTGAGGCTGACAGGGCCTTCAGTAACCGGAGGGAACTGTTCACCTCGGCCCCGGTACTGGCCCACCCCGATCCATCACTACCGTTCGGAGTGGAGGTGGATGCGTCCGAGGTTGGGATGGGAGCAGTCCTGTCTCAACGCTCGGGCACGCCACCCAAGCTCCGCCCCTGTGCGTTCTTCTCAAAGAAGCTCAGCCCGGCAGAGAAGAATTACGGCATTGGTGATCGGGAGCTGTTGGCTGTTGTCCGAGCTCTGACTGTGTGGAGACATTTGCTCGAGGGGGCGAAACACCCATTCCTCGTCTGGACGGACCACTGTAACCTGGAGTACATCCGGGCAGCGAGGAGGCTGACCACTAGCCTATTCTTCACCCGGTTTGATTTCACAATGTCATACATTCCGGGTACGAAGAACGTGAAGGCAGATGCACTGTCCTGGCTGTATGATACAGAGGAGAGGCCCAGAGACAATACCCCCATACTGCCAGACTCATGCATTGTGGCGCGGGAGTATGGGCGATGGACGTGGATATAGCGCAGGCATTACG